ATGTGGTACGAAGCATTTTAGTGTTGAACGCTCTGCAAGGCTAAAATTATTTTCTAAACGAAATCAAATATTTCATCATAATCACGTGTTATGACGTCCGATCTCATAAAAAACTGCACCAAACATTAATTCAATCTTTATGTGACTTATGTGCAAAAAAGATTTGCAATCGGATAAAAGACGTTTATGCACTAGCGTTCCAAAAGTGGAAGGTAGCGGTCAAGCGTGAGGGGGTCGAGCCACCTTAATTAGGTCTTTTGCAGTTTTCCAAAAACAAAGCTTACATTCATTTAAACTTGACAAGAACAACTGAGACAAAATAGAAAATAATGCAAAAGGCAATGCAAAATACAAAATGACTCATTTCTTTGGCAGTAAATTGGCGCTTGTAAATGTTTTTGAATATTTTTTAGCTTTTTAGAGAAAGTCAAGTAGGTCTTTATACAATAACATCTTTCAACAACACGAATTTAAGCTCATTTTTATAATCACACTTGCTCCAACAGCTTAATAAACAGTTGAACATTTGGTAAAAATTTATATTTCATTCAATGATTAAATAAATTATCTGTAGAAAGATATAAAATTATTGAATGAAAGTCTTCTTTGTTTTACCGATTGGACCCTTTGATCGTCCAGCTGTATGTCTAATACTCGGTAAAGAGAAAGAAACTTTTCATTCCTCGTGAGAGTATGATCTGGTTTATCCACAGATGGAGGTCGTGTGACGTGTAAGAACAACGATACCAGTTCTCGCTGCATTTGTGACGAAGGATACACRAGTAAAGGAAAATACTGTCAAGGTAAAGCAACTACTTGATACACGAGTGGGTCAGTAAAGCATGGATCACTCAGCGTGAGGGCGCGCGCTTCTTATCAGTGCGATGTAGAATCGATTCCTTAACTCGGTGTCGCGAGTAAAATTTCTCGTTCTCGCGCTCCTGTGCTTCGAGGGATTTTCCCACGTTTTTCGGCTTTCGCGTCCTGGGTCTCTAAATCCCTAATCGATCAGGGGCAGAAGAGCTACTCTGTGGGTGTCCTTAAGAGATGTGTGCAGAAAGAGAGAGTGCTCTGGTCATTGCAAGACGGTCTTTTTAGGGCGGTCCGCAGCAGCAATAAGCTTTACCTTGGACGTAATGTTTTTCCCATATTAGACCACGTCATTCTCTTGAGTATCATTTCGTTGTTTAACTGTTGCGCGTAAGGAGACACATGGTATGGATACAACTTAAACGAATAATCTTATTCTCAAGAGAATGACACGTGGTCTGAAATGAGGAAACATTGTATTTTTCTCATTTGTAGACATCAACGAGTGCACAGCAAGCAAAAGATCGAACTGCAGTGCCAACAGCCATTGCGTCAACTCTGTTGGATCATACAGTTGTAAATGTGGTGAAGGCTTCTCTGGTGATGGGAGAATACACTGCACAGATATAGATGAATGCAAGGCCGATTCACATGCATATGACTGCCATATTAATGCTACCTGCACCAACAAGAACGGTTCTTACGACTGTACTTGTAAAAAAGGTTATACCGGTGATGGTAAAACTTGTTCTGATATCGACGAGTGCGCTGTTAGTCCACACACATGCGGTGACCACTCGACGTGTATTAACACTCTTGGTAGTTACTCATGTCAGTGTGATCCTGGATACGAGAATAAACAGGACGCCAAGTCTAGATGTATCAATATCGATGAATGTGGAGGAAAAAAACATGGATGTCACATGAATGCACATTGTATCGATACACGAGGGTCTTATCATTGTCAGTGCCGTTCTGGTTTCACTGGAGATGGAAAGACTTGCAAAGGTAAACACTCTGAACTAATGTATTATTTACCACTTCACTACATACTTCAAAAACGTCTCGGCTTCCTTAATACTGAATATTACACATTAGTAGTCAAAGTAGAGCGGGACGCAGGATATACATACAACCCATTAGCTGATCATAAGCTGATTCTTACTGAAAGTAATCTATCGTATGTCTTTTGACAGATATCGATGAGTGTAGATCAGGTGACTACTCTTGTCCTTCTCATTCTGATTGCACCAACAACCTTGGAAGCTACACATGCAAGTGTAATCATGGCTATCATCTGAATGGAAAGACCTGTAAACTAAATGGTACGTACTTTGAACTCATCAAATTATATTCTTAAACACCTTTTTTTCCTTTCTTAGTAGACTTTACAGAGATTCCTCAAAGAAAATGGCCACTTTGACACTCGAACTACACACGAGTTGTGATTCAACTTTTATAAGACAAAAAGATTCAAACTGGTAACGACATTTTTTTCTTTATAACTTTTAGCTGGAGGAACAAACAAGGTTGCGAACCTGACCCTTGTACTCTTGTTGGTAGTGACTTTGATTGAGCTGAGATGATGATTAAACCACACAAGATTACCCAGGATAGCTCTGTGTTGATGTGCAGTGATTATGAATAGCTTACATCACTGCATCTCCACGAGAATATATAGACATAAGAGACGAAGAACACTTGACGCGTGAAGTTTATGATATAGCATTACATGTGAATATGCAATAGCAATTATGCTGCGTGGTTATATAGTGCTCTGCGTGTGAAATATTACCGAGAAAGAAACAGGAAGACAACAAGGACAAAAAAAAAAAACATGTATAGTTAAGAATCAATTTCTTTTGCATGATTAACTCTTAGGGTTATGTTAATAATTGTTATTTGTAGTAGAATTATTTATTTTTATTTTTATTCTTATCATTATTGTTAATAAAGATCTTTTATAACATGGTTAGAAATTTGTTTTTTCCATGGCCAAAACGAAAATAAATGTAGAGGAAGAGAAGGAAAACCTTAGAGGTGTACCCTGAGAACAGGCAAATCTAAGATTTTAAAACTGGGTGTGGTCATCATTGATCTCTAAGCAAGGAAGGCAATTGACTTGCCCTGACTTAAGCTAAACCTAGAAGTTTTTCAAGGGATGCCGATAAAATTCGAAATCTTGGATACAACTGTGCAAAACAATTCACCACTTCACCTGTCACTATAGCTGGGTTTAACGCAGCAGTCTTTGAATCTCATTATTTGCTCCAAATTGTTGTCAAACACTGACCACCATGTGCTGTCAACAATGATATTCTATTATAGAACCGCGAATCGATCGTGCTGTATCGCAAAATGTGTCCAAGCCTTCGATGCTTTTGTGATGAGAAATTGTTTTCGAGTTACATGCTTTACATACATTGTAGTTCAGTTCTGTTTGACCTCGACATGAATATTAATAGCAGTTCACGTCACATCAAACAAAGCTCAGATAATTTCCAAGAAATAACCAGCTCTTTACGCTTTCAACATCACAGTTTTGTCCTTTCTCCTTCTTTCTTCATTGCTTGGAAGAAAGCAATAATTCCTGGGTATTCACACTGATTAAACAAGAATAGTTTGAAGCCTAAACCAATGGACAGCTGTTTGAGGATTATACACCTTACCATACACCTCTATAGATACCAGTAACTAAGTCGTCAAATTTGAAAAAAACATCGATTTCCAAGAAATCTCCATTCATCACTATTATTAAATATTCAGTTATATCTCAGTATATATCTGGCGTCTGAGCTTTGGCGTCGATCAAGCAGCCGGAGGCAAAACTTAGAGCTTTATTATCTTCGTTGAATGGATCAGCGATAAACTAGCCTTTCTGGAGAAGAATCTTGGAAATTTAGCCATCCTTCAAACACTGTTAGTACCTTGATCTTGAATTTAATTACAAAGGGAGAAACGCTTGAATGAACTAGAGAGGAGGAAGAAAAATGGTATGAAAAATAGAGAGGGTGAATATTTAAATACTTCTTTCCCTCCGCTCCGCTCGTTTAGGTTTCCCAGTATTCCAAAGCAGGTGTGAATATAGACGTTAAGTTTATTGCTTTCGTAGTTCACGAGCCTGAAGAGAAAAATGAAGCAAGGTATAGCGTTCCCAGTGACATTTGTATACCATCACTCATTAAGTCGCTGAGATACCGTTGCCGTGTTCTTGAGTCACATAGCATTCTACTTGTCTACTAAACTTACTTTCCCTTAACCAGTGAGCATCATAATACTCTTGAGCAATGTTACGTTCAATTTCTGTAAAGTTCAGTCCTGCATTTGCCAAAACGGTAACGRCACGTGAAAGTTCCGTGGTAATCCCGCTTTTGTGGGATAGAAAAAATTGTAAACATTCAGGAGGGATGTTGTCCATTACAAGTGGATCATGTGCAATCAGTTCGTGTCCATCACTACAGGTATACACACGACTCACTAGCAAAACAATCTCGTCTTTACCGTAGATTTTCCTTGGTTCATTCCTACTTCCGACACAGTTTTTCCATTTACCTGCTTTAAGAGGAACAGAGTCGGTGGCATGACAACTTTTTGGGCAAAACAAATTCCCAGAAAGGATATTTCGAAATTGTAATAAGGGATCCCAAACGATCACAGGAGGTAACAAATAATCTGCTGGAGATGGCGGTTCTGCATTCGATGGCAATACTGGCGGTGGCTTGATGACTTCAGGACCATGTGGGCATCGCTCGTATGCATTCGTTACCTCCAATAAATATTTCTTTACCTGTGGAAGTATAACTTTCATTCTTTCCTAAAATATAAGCACATGGATGATAGCACATTTCAAATTTCAAGATGGCGGAAAATTCACTCAGCACGTGACCAATAATGTATACTGATTGGGATCCCTGTTTGGAAGACTACTTGACTTCCGGCAGTGTCACAGTGTCACAGGGATTTTGGAAAAAAGTGAAGTGTGCGAACATTAGACTACTTGACTTCCGGCAGTGTCACAGTGTCACAGGGATTTTGGAAAAAAGTGAAGTACGCGAACATTAGACTACTTGACTTCCGGCAGTGGAGGTAGAAAAGAGTAGTAGAGGACACGAATAGTAGTTTGTTCCGATGGTTGCCCGAATATAACGTAATGGTTAACCCGTCGGTGCTCCGAAAATGACGTAGATGGTTAACCCGTACACGACGATACCACCCTCATGAGATTACCATCTGATTTATCCACAGATGTATGTCGTACTAAGGAATGTAAGAACAACCAGTCCAAACCGGAGGCGTGCCTTTGTGACGAAGGATACACAAGAAAAGAAGAAAAATGCCAAGGTAAAGCAACATTTTTGACTACTTGATTAAGTTTGTTTGATGTGTTACCGACGTCGTTYTCTCCCTTGCCACGAGGGTTTTTCTGTAGTTTCCTCCCTCCGTAAAAATTATTATGTGAGTTGAGTGTCATATGTTTTAAACATACAATGTAGTACGTGGTAGTGTGTGTGGAGGGAACCTCAAGGAAGAGCTCCGTACGGGGAGTGGTGCATGGTTGCAAGATATAAGTTTAAATAAATGGATTGAGTGAAAGAAGAGCTATACTTTTGAAATATGTGCAGACAAAGAGGGCACTCTGGTCAATGCAAGAGTTCCTGCAGTGTACGGTTCTCAGCCATTTCTCAGTATTTAGTAGTCACCACTAATAATATTAATTCCTCGTAATATATTTTTCTCATTTACAGACATCAACGAATGCACAAGCAACGGATCGAACTGCAGTGCCAACAGCCATTGCGTCAACTCTTGCGGATCATACAGTTGTATTTGTGATGAAGGTTACTCTGGTGATGGAAGGAAACACTGCACAGATAGAGATGAATGCAAGGCCGATTCACATGCATATGACTGCCATATTAATGCTACCTGCACCAACAAGAACGGTTCTTACGACTGTACTTGTAAAACTAGTTTTACTGGTGATGGAAAAACTTGTTCTGATATCGACAAGTGCGCTGTTAGTCCACACTTATGCGGTAACCACTCCACGTGTAATAACACTCTTGGTAGTTACTCATGTAAACCAACAACTAAAGGTACGTACTTTGAACTCATTAAATTAGATTATCCGAAGAACAACGAGCAATTTCCCATGGAATGCTCCTCAAATGAATAAAATGGCCATTTCCTCACTTGAGCTACATAAGTCGTAATCAATTTCTATGATATATATATTTWAAAAAAAGATTCAAAATAACGACAATTTTTTCTTTATAATTTTTAGCTGGAGGAACAAACAAGGTTGCGAACCTGACCCTTGTACTCTTGTTGGTAGTGACTTTGATTGAGCTGAAATGAAGGTTCCCTTGACGACGGAAAACAGCACAAGATTACCCAGGATATCTCTGTGTTGATGCACACGCAGTAATCATGAAAAACTCGTTACACGATCACTTTGAAGTAGGAAGAGTATGCCATGTTACAGTAGAGATCAGTCCCAATACCACTTAAGGAACATAAGAGTATCTTTCGCTCTTCACGATAATTAATAGACATAAGACTGACAAAGACTGAACACAACACAAGTTGATGATATTGCATTAGATGTGAATAAGTAGTACTGAGCAGCAATGCATGTGAAATATTACCGAGAAAGAAACTACACAGACAAAACAACAACTGCAAAGAACATTTGTAGTTAAGAATCACAATTTCTCTTACTTGATTAACTCTTAGTGTTATATTATTTATTATTAGTATTAGTAGAACTACTTATCTTTATTTATTTATTATTATTATTATTATTATATTATATTTCATTATTATTATTATTATCATTATTACTATTATTATTATTATTACACTGTTAATGAAGACATTTTATAACATGTAAACTGGTTAAAAATCTGTCCTTTCCAAAGCGAAAATAAAATGTAGAGGTAGAGATAAAGAACCGTAGAAGTGTACCCTGAGAACAGGCAGATCTAGGATTTTAAAACTGGGTGTGGTCATCATTGATCACTAAGCAAGGAAGACAATTTCAACCCAACTTAGTTAAACCCAGAGGTTGTTTCAGGGGATGCCGATAAAATTAGGGATCTTGGATACAACTGTGCAAAACAATTCACCACTTCACCTGTCACTATTGCTGGGTTTCAATCAGCTGATAAGAGTCTTTGAATCTCATTATCTGCTCCAAATGGTTGTCAAACACTGACCACCATGTGCCGTCAACAATGATATTCTATTAGAACCGAATCCGGTCGTGCTGCATCGCAAAATGTGTCCAAGCCTTCGATGCTTTTGTGATGGGAATTTTTTTTCGAGTTACATATTTTGCATACGTTGTAGTTCAGCTCTATTTGACCTCAACATGAATATTAATAGCAGTCCACGTCACACCAAACAAAGCTCAGACAATTTCCAAGTAACCAGCTCTTTACGCTTTCCTTTCTCCTTCTTTCTGATTTCGTGGAAGAAAACGACGAAAAGCGAAAATTTCTAGATATTCACCCTGGATGAAACAAGAAGTTTGAATCCTGAATTCCTGGACAGCTGTTTGACGACGAGACATACAGCTCATCTATAAGGACGGAGATGCCTCGATACCAGGTACACCATGAAAAATTCGGGGAAATCCCCCAAAAAGATAGGTTTAATTTACTTCCAAGAAATTTCGATTCATCAGCATTATTATTCAACCTCTGGCGTCGAACACGCATCTCGAAGAAAACAATCTAGAAATTCTTTATTATCGTCGTTCTTCGAAAGATTGTTTTCATATTTGGATAATAACTAAGGCTTCTGGAGAACATTTTTGGAAAAACCTTTCGGATATCAACAAAAATAGAAGCACGATTCGTGAGGTAAGTAATTTTTGAGTTCCCGCGAGGAAGACTTCTCTAGAGCGAAGTTACTTTAAAACCATCGTCGTTTCTACACTTTTTAGTAAACTGACTATAGTTTATTATCAATACGTTATTTTTGATTATTCATGTATTTAATTTTAATTTCTTTTTCAAGTTCATACGTCTTAAATATCTGAAATATATGTACGTAATCTCGTTTCGTAATTAGGAAACTTTTTAGAGTGTAAATACTCAGTAGATACTCCCAATTATTAGTAGTATTGTTCTGCATCATTTTTAATTTGTTTACGAATCATTTTTTAAAATGATAAGTTATTATTCGATATAAACTGAAACTCGTCTTACAACAGCGTTGCACATGACACAACTGAAGAACAGCTTTCGCTTTAGTTTATGGTTGCAAGCGCCATCATATTGTAACAAAGTAAATTCCTCGCAAGCTTTTGTGATTACTGAAAAACATCGCTTAGCAATGCTAAAACCTTAATTCAGTACTAAATCAATGGTCATTGGTAGCACTTATTAGACAGAGTAGATTAAAAAGCTGTGGCCTTCGTTGGCTTCGCTCGAATAAAAGACTTTCGCGGGAGAAAATAGAGGTCGACTTTTTTCTCCCGCGAAAATCTATTATTCGAGCGAAGCAAACGATTCCCTGCTAGCAGAGCCTATTTTCCTTTTGTTTTGGTTGAGAGAGAAAGAAAGAAGGGAGAGAAAGAGAATATAGACTCTGCTAGCAGGGAAAGCAAACGAAGGCCACAGCTTTTTACGGCAAGTCAGTCGTTCCATGATCGAATTGGAATTTAGAAGTTGATTTTTGCGGAGGGAGGAAAACCGGAGAACTCGGAAAACCCTCGAAGCACATGGAGAGAACCAACAAACAACTCTACTCACATACAACACCGAGTCCGGTCATAGGAATTATAAGTTTTTAAAGCGAAAAAAAAGAAAAATGAAAGTTATTTCTTCCGCAGCACGATCAGCACAACAGAATGACGAAAACCACCGACAACATGGACCCAGTGAAGAAAGAGGTACTTGAGGTCACGATTAATACCAACGAAGAAGTTGTGCCAAACAGTCTGAGTGGAAAATACTCAAGCAAGCGAAAGAAAATAGCAGTTGGTTCGGTGATCTTCCTAATCATACTTTCAGTAATAGTCCTTGTACTGAGCCTTGGGAAGCGTTCAGGACCGCACGGTTAGTACGCGTATAGTTTTATAAGTACCTTTACCTATAGCCAAGTTTAAAGGCAGGAACAATGCGACAACAACATGGTTACTGTGGAGTGAAACTACTTTTGTCGACAGTGCAATTTTTTTTGCTTCAGAGAGTCAGTTGAGAAGTCGAAATTTGCCACATCAAGTCTAATATAGCCGTTACTCTCCGCGAGTAATTTAAATGGCACAAAGCATTAAACGATTTAATAGGTTCCGTTCGACTATTTAAGATATTTAATGGTAATTATATTTTAGAGTTTTCTGTTCTGATAGAGCCTTGGGCCTGGTTGTACGAAGACTGGATAGCGCTATCCGACAGATAAATCTTATCCACTGGATAAATTTATTGGATAACAGCATCGACTTATCCACTGGACAAGGATTTATCCGGTTGTAGTCTTCGTATAACTGGGCCCAGGTTATTTGTACAAGTTAATAATAATAATAATAATAATAATGAATTTAATATAGCGCTTACCCATCGCTGTCCTAAGCTCTCGCTTATTTGTGCCTAGTTTGTACAATTGTCATTTTGGCCTCCAGTTATTTGTATAATCGTTATTTGTGCCATAATTATTTGAATAGGAGTATAAGTACCCCAGCTTAGTTTAACTATTTCAATGAGTAAATGTCTTTGATTCCCCAGAACTAGCCACCCATGTGAAGTGCCTGAATGAGGACATTGAGAATAGATGTGAATGTCGTAAAGGATTCAAAAGCAAAACCAAATACTGTGAAGGTGAATGTGACTTGCATGATTTTTACTTCTTCTTTAAAAATAAAACATCTTTCATGACATCATCATCATCACCATCACAATTACCATCACCATCATTACTACTATCACCATCACCATCATCATCATCATTATCACCGTCATCGTCATCATTTTCATCGTCATCTCATATCCATCATCATCATCATCATCAAGTTTATTAGTGTAGTACACTATTTAGTGCCACCCTCATTAAATAAAGTGGTTATTATTATTATTATTATTACCATCACTATAACCAACATCATCATTACTATCACCACAATCATCACCACAATCATCATCACCATTAT